CAATGGGCCAGCAGGTTATTTCAATTTACAAAAAACTGTACACCAAAGCAGCATTTCTTTGAAACACTGCTTTGGTGAAGTGACCTCTGACACTGAATTGACCCTAAGAGAGTTCCAGAAAGATCACTTCAGTATCCTCAGTTGCATAAACCTTATAGGTAATGCTTGGGAGGTAATGACTTGCAGGACTTTGAACTCTGCTTGGAGAAAATTGTGGCCACAATGTGTACAAGAGAGGGATTTTGCAGGGTTTGGGGCTGACCCTGAGGAGCCTATGCCAGTTGTGGAAACTATTGTGGCATTGGGGAATTCCATGGGGTTGGATGAGAGTTTGGAGGATGTGGAAGAGTTGGAGGAGGACCACGATAAAGAGCTAACCACTACAGAGCTGCAAGATCTTCATCTGCAACAGCAACAGACCACAGCTAAGGAAATTGCTTCAGAGGAGGAGGAAGAGTGATGGAGGAAGGTGCCTTCTTCAAAGATTAAAGGCATTTGTACAATGTGGACAAAGGTGCAAACATTTATGGATGTACATCACCCTGACAAAGCTGTTGCAGGCTGTGCTGGCAACATGTACAATGACAATGTTGTGTCCCATTTTAGGGAAGTTTTAAAGAAATGCCAGAAACAGACCTCTCTGGAACACCTTTTTGAGCAACAAGGGTCCCGAGACTCTCAAGCTGGTCCTAGTGGCATTAAAAAGGGAAGTAACCCCAGAAAAGAACTTGGTACCTGAAGTCCTTGTGGAGGGGGATTCCCCTTCCAAACAATAGTACACCTCCATCCTCTCCCCTCCTCCCATCTCATCACTCATCAGTAAGTCTTCAATAAAGGTAAGTGTCATTTTAGCAATGTTTTATTCTGCATGTCTCATTGTTTTGTGTAGGGAAATGTATATTTCATGCAAAAAGCTTTTTTTTTTTAATACTTTCGGGTGTCGAGAACAGATTAATTGGATTTCTATTATTTCTTATGGGAAAATTAATTCGGAATTAGTCAGATTCGGGTTTAGTCACTCTCTTTGGAATGGAATAATTATGAAAACCTGGGGTCCACTGTAGTTAAAGGCAACACAAGAATGCTAGTAACCAATAACTTCACTAACTACACACTGCTCTGCCTTTAGCAGTCATTCACTCTGTTGAGACAGGTTCAGAGCACCCAGGATCTCGTACAGTGTTTGAACAAACAGTTGCGTGATACCATAAAACAGTTATGGCAATACATATTATACATACTACACTATGTATATTACTGACAACTTACCCAAGGTTTATTCATAAAAATGCTGAATAGGCTGGTTACTGATAATAGTAATTTAACGAAAAAGTTAAAGAATGATCTTGCAGCACTGCCATGATCAATGTTTTTGGACTGCATATGAATGTCATAGCATATGCCATTTATAAAAAAAAAAAAAAAAAAAAAAAAAAAAAAAAAAAAAAAAAAAAAAAAATCCACTGGAGTCAGAGGTCTAACAGATGAGACTAAATTAGCCCTTTCCTGCATAAAAGTTAATACCTGCAGTTTTTCCCATATCCTCTTCATCATCAGGGCTAAAATGTGATGACAGCAAAATTATGTTTATAGTACAGGTCGGCCATCACTAATCCAGCAATCAGTTACCCAGTTCCATCAGTAATCCGGCACTAATTTCGACTAGCATAATTTCAAATTTCATCATTATACCGACTCAGAAATTGTGCAGATAGTCGTAAATCCACAGCAGCAAGCCAGTGGAGGAGAAAGCAGTGATGAAAATTAGGCAGATGTAGCAGTCTCTCTATTGAATGGTTAATTAAGCAAATACTAACCTAACCACTCTGTAATCAGGCAAACTCACTAATCTGGCATACTACAGGTCCCAATGATGCCGGATTAGTGATGGCCGACCTGTATATGCAAACCGAGACTCCAAGTTTTATATGTCTCTTGCTTCTATTCATTTGCATAAACAGGGTTTTGTGAGAAAAAATAATGTTACTACAGGACCTAGGATATATACCATACATTGTTCATCAGTTTGGTTATAAAATTTTTATTTTATAATATATAACCTGGGTTCACAGACTCTGCACCTGTCTGCAACACTACCACTATCACAACCACCACTACTTATATACTATATCCTCCGTTTCTCTTCATTTGCATTACCAAGATTGAAAATATGAGAGGAACCTGGATTTAATGTGCATACAATACCTACTTTATAGACACAGAATCACTGGTTGATAATCTCATATTTTGTAATAAAGAAGGATGTATGAAGGTATCAGCAATGCTCATCTTTCTCCCTCCCTACCTCCCCACTCCTCTATTTCTTGCTCTTAGTGTTATCATTAAAAAAGTGAGGGAAATGACACTTATTTAAATAATTTTTTTTTATTATTATTATTAATACATCGGCCATTTCCCACCAAGGTAGGGTGGCCCAAAAAAGAAAAACTTTTACCATCATTCACTCCATTACTGTCTTGCCAGAGGTGCACTTACACTACAGTTATAAAGCTGCAACATTCACAACACTCCTTCAGAGTGCTAGAACTGTACTTCCCATCTCCAGGATTCAAGTCCAGCCTGCCAATTTACCTGAATCCCTTCGTAAATATTACCCTGCTCACACCCCAACAGCATGTCAAGTCCTAAAAACCATTCGTCTCCATTTGCTCCTATCTAACATGCTCACGCATGCTTGCTGGAAGTCCAAGCCCCTAGCACACAAAACCTCCTTTACCCCCTCCTTCCAACCATTCCTAGGCCGACCCCTACCCCCCCTTCTCTCCACTAGAGATTTATACACTCTTGAAGTCATTTTATTTTGTTCCATCCTCTCTGCTCCATCCGTAGCTCAATAGCTAGGGCAATCAGCTCACACACCGAGGTCCGGAGATCAAATCTCCGGTATGGCTGGAAAACAATGGGGATGTGTTTCCATAAGACACCTGCTGTCCCTGTTCACCCATCAGTATAAAATGGGTACCTGGGTGTTAGTCGATTGATGTGGGTCACATCCTGGGACAAAACTGACCTAATTTGCCCAAAATGCTCAGCATAAGTGGTTTTCTATATGGTGGTACAGTATGTCATTGATGTCAGCTAGACCTGTATACCTAGTACATGTACTTGTAGAGATGATGATGATGCTGATATGATTATGATACGATAATATAATATTATTATTATTATTATTATTATTATACATGTCCGAACCACCTCAACAACCCCTCCTCAGCCCTCTGGATAATAGTTTTGGTAATCCTGCACCTCCTCCTAATTTTCAAGCTATGAATTCTCTGCATTATATTCACACCACACACTGCCCTCAGACACGACATCTCCATTGCCTCCAGCTTTCTTCTTGTTGCAACATTCACCACCCATGCTTCAAATATTCCCTCCATCTTCCCAATACTTCCAACTCTCCATTCAACAACTCTCTTCTCCTATTTTTAACTATCAAATCCATTTGTTCTCTAGGCTTCCTCAGCTTATTAATTTCACTCCAAAACTTTCTTATTTTCAACAAAATTTGATGATGACATCTAACTCACTTTCTCATTGGTCTCTTTTACATTGCTTCACCACTCTCTTTTCCTCTCCCTATACTCCTCCCTTCTTGCATCTCTTCTTTGTAAAAACCTCTCATATGTTAATTTTTTCATCATTCCACCAATTGCTCTTCTTCCTTCCTGCACCCTTTCCTGTAACCACAAACTTCTGCTGAACCACTTAATTCATTAATTAAATTATGTACTAATGAATTAAGTGGTTTATATTTACAAAAGCACTGTGGTAGTCAATTTCACATCAGAGAGGGGAAACCCATCCTCTTAACCACAGACATCATGGTACTGTTGTAAAAACAGTCATATGGGTGGCTGTTGATGGAGCCCTGAAAAGTTGAGATATGACTTGCACATCAATGTGAACTGAGCCCTGAAAAGTTGAGATATGACTTGTACATCAATGTGAACTGGTTATCAGCTTTCTGTTCATGTGGGAGGCAGACTATCACCATTTATCTTGTATTTGTTGTTTTTCCAGTGTAACCTAACCTAGCTTTGAAATACACTGCAAAGCCTATGAAGAAGTAGATGGCCACAGACCCCTGGGCCACCATAATCCTCAAAACCAACAACAGGGCAGTGATAACCCGAGACAGATTCTTCATTATTTTGATAAATTTTTTCACTTCTTTTTTTTGGATAAGCTGGCATTCATTTCATGGGGGTACTACTCTGGGTATATTTATTTAGTAAAAATATCTTGTCTTATTGGCTGGTAATATATGGCATTTTTACTGAAGTTTGGAGACTGGTTGTAGTAGTGGCAAGTGATATTTAAGGCAGGAAATAGGCTGCTGAACTCCTTGTCATATATTTGTGTAGGTACTGTACAGGGTCACATCAATTTTCTCCGCACATTTCTAGATAAGCAACAACAGCTACAATGTAAGGAGTGGAAGACTGATTTTTTTTTATTCTTTATGTATTACAAAGTTTTAAGAACATGTGGTTGGCATTTTTGTTGGCTCCAGGAACAACCCTAGTGTTCCCCATGTGTTTTTTTAGTTCATTTTATTAGATGTCATTTTTCAGGAACCTAACTACCGTTTTTATTTTTTTCAACAAGTCGGCCGTGTCCCACCAAGGCAGGGTGACCCAAAAAGAAAATACTTTCATCATCATTCAACACTTTCACCTCACTCTCACATAATCACTGTTTTTGCAGAGGTGCTCAGAACACAACAATTTAGAAGTATATACGTATAAAGATACACAACATATCCCTCCAAACTGCCAATATCCTAAACCCCTCCTTCAAAGTGCAGGCATTGTACTTCTCATTTCCAGGACTCAAGTCCGGCTATATAAAATAACTGGAACCTAACTACTATCTTAGTCATTTGTTGTCATATAACAGTACAAGAGTTGACCAGACATGTATGCACATTACATGGCTCTGCCATCAAAACTGTCAGAGTACATAGGTCTTACCCTGCATCTTGCGCTTCATGGGCTCTAATTATGGACAGAAGATTATTGTGTTGTAAGAAGTCACAGCAAGCTGCATAGCTGTGAAAAAAAATTAGTTGCATATATTAAAATGGTAGAGAGTCCAGCTACATCATATCATTAATTTTAGAATTAACATTATAATGCTGTACATAACATCTGTATTTTTACTAAGCCTGTATTGAAATTATCAATTACATGTTGAAGAATCAATGAACTGTACATAAAAGAGAGAAGCTTACGACGACGTTGTGTATCGTTCCAGTCACAGTATTGTGCCTTTTTTTTTTTTGTTATTAATGAACTGTAATTACGGTTTTTAAATAGTATTTTCAAAAATGAGCTAAACTCTACATTTACTGTAAAACTTTTCACACTGCCTGTAGAACTTCAAAACAATACTCCAGTCAATACCACAGGTGCAGTGTAACACTGTCTTAGACTATAATAAAAAAAATTTACAGAGTTTTACCTGTAAAAGTATGAACAACCTCTAACAGAGTTGTGGGAGAAGTGTTCGGCATTTTTCTCATTACCAAAATCCTCCAATGGATCAGACCAAAGTATGTCACACATGGGACCAAATGCAGGTGGCTCTTTGAACCGGTCCAGCTGCAATGAAAAGTTTTTTTTATTAGATCTAATATACAAGTCTTAAATAATCTTGGCTTGCCCAAAATTACACTTAATTAAGTTCACAGAGAAGCTGTAGTGTGCCAGTCTTTCAAACAATGCTCTGAGGTGTGTCAAATGTTCCCAGTTGTCACTATAAACCACTAAGTCGTCCAGGTACACTTCCATTCTGGTAATCAAAAGATAAAACTGAGGGACAATATTTGACCCATGGAAAACACAAAAGGTTAGTGTAGCAAGCTAAACTAAATGCAGTCACAAATAATTTCCAAATGTACACACTTGTTTTTAAAATAAAGTAGATCAGAAGGTAGGTGTAGTGTAGATCATTCATTACCCCTGGCAATAATATATAAAAGAAGAATGAAGATCAAATTAACAAAAGACCTACTATCATGAATACATATACCATAATATCAAATCAAGTTAAAATAACCAAGATTAGTTAAATTTAAATTGAATTAAGTTAGAATGTCAAAAGGCTCTTCCTAAAAGTTCCAATATAATTACAGACATCCCAGTGATTACTGAAACCATGATTAAAGCAAAATGGCCCAAGTCACAGGCAAACAGTTAAAATGTGTTCTGAAGTCACCTGCACACACATGTTACACATGTCAGTGAAGAGGCAGGACCAGGAGCTATGACTCAACCCCTGCAACCCCAACTAGGCAAGTACAGGGCAAGGCAAGAGCACCTACAAACAGGTCAGTATGGGCAAGATCATGTGCCTGATCTGCAACTGCAAGATATTTTCCTCAGTGATGATTTCTATTGAAGGAGATTACTTCAAGCCAAACCCTGCATAACTTGGATAACAGGACAAGTACATTCACTTATGAATACTGTGGCTGGAACAAATTGCCAAAAACCCGGACCTAGGAGAGTTAGGATGATGTTTCAGTCGATCATGGATCATTCAACAATGATCCAGGACAGAATGAAACATCATTTTAATTTTCCTCTCACAAGTGAAGGCTTTTGGTAAATTTATTGGAAACATTTCAGTCCTGGGACCTTGGTCACTCCAAATGACTCAAAAGTATGACAAAGTACAGAGAAAGATAAAGAGAAAGAGAAAGCTAGAACGTCTTGAATTCCTGCGAGCACTTCACCTCCGTGTTTCTATGCTGAAGATGACCCCAGACTTCTGGGAATATGGGAAGGTGGAGCAGGTGGCATGCTGCTGCTGCTGCTGCTGCTGCTGCTGCTAGAAACAAGACTTATGCTTCTGAGTGAGTTTAGTCTTTGTTGTATTTCTGGACCTTCCAGTAGCCAGAGAAGAAACAGAAGCAAACTTCGAGGCTTTGGCATCTAACAAGACATGCTATTATTGGTGCAGCTGAAGCCAGATTCTTTGAACAGGCATCCCAGATGAGTACACCCCAACAAGAGGTGGCAGTGAAAGTGCCTTCTCATAGGTGGAGTGACCCTTGGAGGAAATAGGATGGTCATCTCTCCTCTCACCCTATGACTCCAGAAGGCCTTCCCTGGCAGATGCACCTCATGGGCATGTCAGGAAATTCCTCCACCCTCCTCCTCCCACAACCTTCGGGCCACCCAAAAGGTGGAATCAGTTGAGCAAGCAGGGATGGTAGTCACCTGGACAGGTGGTGGGGCCACTGGAAAGACGCCTGATGGCAGGACAAGAAGAATACCAGTGGTAGGGTAGGTCTATGTTCCAAGGACTATCCCACGGCAGCGGGGCTTAAGCTGTTAGAAGCAATAGCCACGTAAATCTGCTAGGATGCAGGATAGTATACCTTTGCAGGGTTAAGAGCCCTATGCCAGGTTTGTATGGCATTCACCACATCACCATCAGCCATCCTCTTAATCCTCCGAATCACAACTATTAGAGAATTCAGAAGCTGAATATCCTCATCATTCATGCTCGAGCAAACAATGAGAAACTATGTCATAGCATTAGTTCAATTAACTGATAGTTAGCACATTCTCCCCTGAGTTCCCTTGAAACATGAGGGCACAGGCATGCCTAGGTCAAAAAATCTATCACCAGCTTTTCCTCTGATATCTGGTAGATATTAGGCCACAAGATGGGAAAAGCAGCATTTTCATCAACCTTACAAAAGTAGACTGGGAAGCTTACAGAGGCTTCTTTCCAAAATGGGGGTGGAATCAGGGCCAGGGCCAGTGGCAGCAACAACAAGCAGGTGGACGGTTAAGTTCGGCTCTGGATCAGCGCCATGATCCATGCCGGTGCAAATGTAATCAGATTCGCTTTCCCAGAAGAACCAGAAAACGTTGTTTGTACCTCTACAGACAAATACTGAGTTACATGGAAGAGAAAGCAGAGCAGAAGGCGGAAAGAAATGAAGTACCACTGTCATGCCAATAATCCCCATACTCCACATTAATATGACAAGCGATGCCAATCTTTTTTCCAGGGATCCCCCTCCCCCCTCTCTAACCCTACCCAGTACATAGCCCTGGGACGAGTCTCCCATTAGTAACACAACCAGGCTTAGCTAAACAGCTTATTTAGTGGGAGCACTGGAGGGACTAGCAACATTCAGCTAGTAATGATCTTAGGTAAACCTGCAACAACACAAACAGTTGCAATACTCCTGGTGAACACCAGTAATACTCCTACCACTAGATAGCTACTGAGTATACCACTAGGTGGTCAACCAAAAGGTCTACTTGATGGTCCACTCCGCTTTGGGTGTTGGGAACGACCTCAGCACACTAACTGGCAGAAGATCAAGCACCCCTTTCATCATCCCCTGGAGAAAAATTTAACAAGGAAATATCTCCACTACACAAACAAAAAAAATCAGGAAAGCGAGGTGTAAAATCCTGGGTTCTCAGTTGAGCTAAGCCGCTCAAACCTCGTTACTATAAGATGACCCAGTACCGGGGGATTGGGAAGGCGAACAGCAACTGCAAAGCAAGGGCAGCCTCAAATCCTTGGATCAAGAACCCTTCACAAGCGTCAAGGCACCTCACCTAAAGATAATTTTTATTGGTTCTTAGTCTTACAACCGTATGGCAGAAATTCTTCACTTTCGTTTTCGAAAATCCTTATGGAACTTCTAGAATATTGGTTTATCACCTTATCGATTACTACATCCAACAGCATAACGAACAATTACCACAGTAGAGGCTTACAAAGCTGAATCAAACACGACACACTCGTATATGGTTTGACGTGCAACATGTATGACAGGATAAGTCGGTAACCTATGACATCACATACAAATCTCACTATTGTCACTGAGTGAAACAGTTATTATTTGCTTTTCACTTTTTTTTTTTACCCTATTTGTCGGGGAGTTTTGCCATCCAACGAAACGCCCATGTCAAATTATCAACCCTGGCGAATAGACCACCACCATCCATCCATTCATTGATTCTGCTGCCCGGTCATTCATTAGTGTCTGCAGATGCTGACGTGTTCACTACGCATTCATTCACTCTGGTCTCATTCAGCACATAAGATGGTTATACACAAGCCACTTGTGTAGCACTACAATATCAGGAAACTTTTCACTCACGAGCGAAAGTTTCCTATCAAAATATTATACTCTCACAAGTGTTATTTACATTGTCAGTATACTTACATCAGGTTACTGACGCGAGATGGTTAGTACGACAAGTTCAACGTTTATAAAATGTTACATAATAGCAATACACCCATCAGTAAAGAATGCTTTATTTCATAATCTAGGGATTAAAGTAAGCTCTCAGTGTACAAACACACACCTCAGTGTACACACCCAGCACACACGGGAGTATATACCCAGTGAGAAGGTCGGTGGGTACACATTATGGGTTAGACACAGTCCATCAATCTTGAATAGATTGATGGACTGAACACATCGACTCAAGGTTGAGGGACTGATTACCTCATTCTCCTCCTGTTCTTCAAGTTTCTCCTACGTATGGACTGATGAAGCCACTGTGTGGCAAAACGTTTCCTCAATAAAGATACCCAAGAGTTGCACATGTGTCTAATTTATCAACATGTCGGTTCTCTGAACCATTCATCCACAAACACATTATGGGAAACAGGAGCAGCAGCAAACCTAGGAAGAACATGAGGGACAGAAGGAGGACGACGAGGAAGAGGAGGAAGAGGAAGAAGAGGAAGAGGAAGAGAAAGAAGAAGAGGAGGAGGAAGAGGAAGAGCAGCAGCAGCCGCAGCAGCAGCAGCAGCCGCAGCCGCAGCAGCAGCAGCCGCCGCCTGAAGAGTCTGCCGGGAGCTGATTGATCTCTACCGTTGCCAGGGTAACCATAGTGCCCGCGCCGCCGCCCCTGCCCCGCCACCAGTTGCCGCAGTGCCGCCGCCGCAGCCGCCCCTGCCCCGCCACCAGTTGCCGCAGTGCCGCCACCGCCCCTGCCCCGCTACCAGGCGCGGCAGTGCCGCAGATGCCCCTACCCCGCCACCAGTTGTCGCAGCGCCGCCGCCCATTCGTTATCCCGTCACCACTCATTCCTTGCCCAGTAACCGCCTATTCCATTCCATTCCTTGCCCCATCAACAGGTGCCATCACCTATTCCTTGACCCCCTTCTAACAGCTGCCATCACCACTCTTTCCCTGACCCACCAACAGCTGCCATCACCACTCTTTCCCTGACCCACCAACAGGTGCCATCACCACTCTTTCCCTGACCCACCAACAGGTGCCACCACTCATTCCCTGACCCACCAACAGGTGCCACCACTCATTCCCTGACCCACCAACAGGTGCCACCACTCATTCCCTGACCCACCAACAAGTGCCACCACTCATTCCCTGACCCACCAACAGGTGCCACCACTCATTCCCTGACCCACCAACAGGTGCCACCACTCATTCCATGACCCACCAACAGGTGCCACCACTCATTCCATGACCCACCAACAGGTGCCACCACTCATTCCATGACCCACCAACAGGTGCCACCACTCATTCCATGACCCACCAACAGGTTACCTGGAGGTTACCTGGAGGTTATTCCGGGGATCAACGCCCCCGCGGCCCGGTCCATGACCAGGCCTCCCGATGGATCAGGGCCTGATCAACTAGGCTGTTACTGCTGGCCGCACGCAGTCCAACGTACGAGCCACAGCCCGGCTGATCCGGCACTGACTTTAGGTATCTGTCCAGCTCTCTCTTGAAGGCAGCCAGGGGTTTATTGGCAATTCCCCTAATGCTTGATGGGAGGCTGTTGAACAGTTTTGGGCCCCGGACACTTATGGTGTTTTCTCTTAGTGTACCAATGGCGCCCCTACTTTTTATTGGGGGCATTTTTGCATCGCCTGCCCAGTCTTTTACTTTCGTAGGGAGTGATTTCTGTGTGCAGATTTGGGACCATTCCTTCAAGATTTTCCAAGTGTAGATTATGATATATCTCTCCCTCCTGCGTTCCAACGAGTACAAGTCAAGTGCTTCCCAAACGTTCCCAGTAGTTAAGGTGCTTGACAGAACTTATACGTGCAGTAAAGGATCTCTGTACACTCTCTAGATCTGCGATTTCACCTGCTTTGAATGGAGATGTTAATGTACAGCAGTATTCCAGCCTAGAGAGAACAATTGATTTGAAAAGGATCATCATGGGCTTGGCATCTCTCGTTTTGAAAGTTCTCATTATCCATCCTATCATTTTCTTTGCACGTGCGATCGTGGCACTGTTGTGATCCTTGAAAGTGAGATCCTCAGACATTACTACTCCCAGGTCCCTTACATTGTGCCACCACTCATTCCATGACCCACCAACAGGTGCCACCACCACCACTCATTCCCTGACCCACCAACAGGTGCCACCACCACCACTCATTCCCTGACCCACCAACAGGTGCCACCACCACCACCACTCATTCCCTGACCCACCAACAGGTGCCACCACCACCACTCATTCCCTGACCCACCAACAGGTGCCACCACCACTCATTCCCTGACCCACCAACAGGTGCCACCACCACTCATTCCCTGACCCACCAACAGGTGCCACCGCCACTCAATCCCCGACCCACCAACAGGTGCCACCACCACTCAATCCCCGACCCACCAACAGGTGCCACCACCACTCATTCCCCGGCCCACCAACAGGTGCCACCACCACTCATTACCCGACCCACCAACAAGTGCCACCACCACTCATTCCCTGACCCACCAACAGGTGCCACCACCACTCATTCCCTGACCCACCAACAGGTGCCACCGCCACTCATTCCCTGAGCCACCAACAGGTGCCACCGCCACTCATTCCCTGACCCACCAACAGGTGCCACCACCACTCATTCCCTGACCCACCAACAGGTGCCACCACCACTCATTCCCTGACCCACCAACAGGTGCCACCACCACCCGTTCCCTGACCCACCAACAGGTGCTGCCACCACTCGTTCCCTGATCCACCAACAGGTGCTGCCACCACTTATTCCCTGACCCACCAACAGGTGCTGCCACCACTCATTCCCTGACGCACCAACAGGTGCTGCCACCACTCATTCCCTGACCCACCAACAGGTGCTGCCACCACTCATTCCCTGACCCACCAACAGGTGCCACCACCACTCATTCCCTGACCCACCAACAGGTGCCACCGCCACTCAATCCCCGACCCACCAACAGGTGCCACCACCACTCAATCCCCGACCCACCAACAGGTGCCACCACCACTCATTCCCCGGCCCACCAACAGGTGCCACCACCACTCATTACCCGACCCACCAACAGGTGCCACCACCACTCATTCCCTGACCCACCAAAAAGGTGCCACCACCACTCATTCCCTGACCCACCAACAGGTGCCACCGCCACTCATTCCCTGAGCCACCAACAGGTGCCACCGCCACTCATTCCCTGACCCACCAACAGGTGCCACCACCACTCATTCCCTGACCCACCAACAGGTGCCACCACCACTCATTCCCTGACCCACCAACAGGTGCCACCACCACCCGTTCCCTGACCCACCAACAGGTGCTGCCACCACTCGTTCCCTGATCCACCAACAGGTGCTGCCACCACTTATTCCCTGACCCACCAACAGGTGCTGCCACCACTCATTCCCTGACGCACCAACAGGTGCTGCCACCACTCATTCCCTGACCCACCAACAGGTGCTGCCACCACTCATTCCCTGACCCACCAACAGGTGCTGCCACCACTCATTCCCTGACCCACCAACAGGTGCCACCACTCATTCCCTGACCCACCAACAGGTGCTGCCACCACTCATTCCCTGACCCACCAACAGGTGCTGCCACCACTCATTCCCTGACCCACCAACAGGTGCCACCACTCATTCCCTGACCCACCAACAGGTGCCACCACTCATTCCCTGACCCACCAACAGGTGCCACCACTCATTCCCTGACCCACCAACAGGTGCCACCACTCATTCCCTGACCCACCAACAGGTGCCACCACTCATTCTCTGACCCACCAACAGGTGCCACCACTCATTCCCTGACCCACCAACAGGTGCCACCACTCATTCCCTGACCCACCAACAGGTGCCACCACTCATTCCCTGACCCACCAACAGGTGCCACCACTCATTCCCTGACCCACCAACAGGTGCCACCATTCATTCCCTGACCCACCAACAGGTGCCACCACTCATTCCCTGACCCACTAACAGGTGCCACCACTCATTCCCTGACCCACCAACAGGTGCCACCATTCATTCCCTGACCCACCAACAGGTGCCACCACTCATTCCTTGACCCACCAACAGATGCCACCGCCCATCCCTTACCTCCCCCAACAGCTGCACCAACTGTTTTCAAAAATTAATTTGATCAATTCCTTGTAGTTGTTGATTAAGCAGATGGTAGACTACGCGACCTGAGTACCAACAGTGAGGGAGCAGAGTGAAGCAGGGAGGGAGCAGAGTGAAACAAGGAGGGAGCAGTGGGAGCAGGGAGGAGCAGTGTGGAGGAGTGGGGGGGGCAGAGTGGAGCACAAGTTGGGAGCAGGGTGGAGGGAGCAGGGTGGAGGGAGCAGCAGGTGCAGAGTAATGGACACATGGTCAGATCATCTCCTCAAACATCAACAGTGTTATAACCTCGTTGTCAAAGTCTAACCTAAAAAAAAACCCACAGGGAAAAGTTGTACAAGACACAAGACTCTCCCCAGGAAGCGTGCGAGGGGAAAGGGAGGGAGGGAGGGATCTGTCTGGACCCCCACACACACAACTCTCGAGTACACAGTCGTATTCTTCGCAGACAATACTATTTCTTTATGCGAGTGTCTGTCAACTACACATGGGGGGAGGGAAGGAGTGAGGTGGAACTGGAAACAGGTGGTTAACGGCCAGATGTGAACCCGACAGCCTGTAGACAGACTCCTCTCGGAACAACTAACGAAGGATGAGGACCAAACACCCAGACCCTGCTGATTCCTGTATAACTTGCTTCTTGTCTGCAGGGCCCACCGGATCCACCGGTGCGTCTATTCAGGTATCCCACGAAGTCAAGAAAGTACAAAGATGTTATAGAGCGAGTTCTAACAGCAGCCTTCGCCTGGGCACCTTCCCCTCATCTGCCGGGACACTAGCCTGACTCTACCAAGGGAACTACATTCGTCTCCATTCCCTTCTATAACCCCTACATCCTCGACCCACGCATGTAGAGGGGTTACAGAGGTCTCAAAAAGCATCAGCAGTAGAGTCCAGGGGCAGAAGGGAGGGGGGCATTAGAAACAACCCAAGTCCATGTATTGAAGCTCAAGTCGGCGGTCACTTGTCACAACGTAGGTCTGAGTGGCGGAGGCTTTAGCGGAGTCAGTCCATTAACTGCACCCAAACCAAACCCATAAACTGTCCCAGGCCATTGGAAATCTTGATGTAAAATTAAATTTCCCCGCTAGGTAAGCTGAAAAAAAGAAGAGGGGTAGGGATACTGAAAGAGAACAGGGGTGGGGATACTGAAAGAGAACAGGGGTGGGGATACTGAAAGAATAGGGGTGGGGATATTGAAAAAGAATAGGAGGTGGGATAATGAGAATAGGGGTGTGGATACTAGATTAAGTGGCGGGCATTTCGCCACTACGGTAAGGCGACCCAAGTTCTTGGAGGAAGGGAGGAAGGGGGTATGAAGATTCTCCAGCACACTGCATGAATATATTATTAGAGACGTACCTTCCTGATGTCGTCTAGTGTGTGTAACTCGGGTGAGAGACCGCCGTGGACACACAGGAACTGGTGGTTCATAAGTGCGGCTAGTGGAAGGCAGTCGAAGGCCTCCATGCACGCGTCGTACACTCGTTCACTGTATTTGATCTTACCTGCAACAACATAACAATAACTATCTCGCCTGTCCTATAGCAAGCTACAGAAAATTCCAGGAGTGAGAAAGGCGAGAGAGGGTGAAGGTGATGAAAGAGGGGAAAGGCAAAGAGACGAGAACTGGGTTAAATTGCGTTATCGCAGATCAGTTGGGCGTTTCTAGATATTTTGATCGGTATTTTCATTTTTTTTTTAGGGATAGTTGACGCTGTCTCGAATGTTTTCTTCGTACTGAAATCATTAGATACATACACTTCCAACTCATCCACAACACCGGTTTCACACATCGACATTTGCCCCTAACTTATGACTTCCAGCATGACTGCAATTTTCTTATACTGACATTTTTCCCTAGAGTATGACTTGATGTAAAGCACTGAGGAGTAGGATTATAAGGGGCACTAAGTGTTAGAGAGGAGAGCGGTTATTAAGGCTAGTACTGCAGGATAATCCATCGCTTTACAACTATATAATGTATTTCTGTATGAAGATTAAAATATGATTATTATTTATATATAAAAATAACTACTTAATATAAAATATTAAATCTTTCACAGAGCTTCAAACAATGATGTACCAGGAGTAACTGAAGACAAAGAATATATCAAGTAAAAAGTAAAGTTAGATGCAAAGACGAGTGTCAACACAATGGGTCAGGTACTTACATTCTTGTTTAAATGTGAAGTATTCTGTTAAATGCCTACACTCATGGTTTCCTCTTAATAGAAATAACGTGTTGGGGTAGCATATCTTTAGCGCCCATAGATACAGAACACACTGAAAGTAAGAGAAAACAATGCTGAATTATATCTTATTAAAAACACAAATAGCAAACATAACTCCATTAATATAATCACAATTCACTAGTTCCAACTTACAGCAAAAAAAGAAAAGAAAAGTAAATGCAAGATTATATTTTATTTTAATATATTCGTTATTATGTTCTCAAACATTGCTACACTGAAGATGCTATCAAAATGGCAGTTGGTGCATCATTTTTACCTGCCCTGCCCTTCTATACTCAACACTGCCTCCTACCTGACACATCTTACTGCCGTTCTGTGTAAATTGCGCCACTTGTGCAATAGATCAAGATCCACTACACCGCTCGCTCCACTACCCAGCATGGTGGCAGCCGCACTCTCCACTAGCCTCTTACTGCTACACAGTCTTAAAATATTCTATGTTGACATCCACCTAGCCACTAAAACCGAGTACCATCAGCGGTGTATGGCAGATTAGCACACACGAGTGGCATACAAAAGCCTGAACAAGAGCTTTCAAAAGCCTATTCACATAATAGTAGATATTATAGCACGCAGCTTAAAAATAAGGCTCCAATCCAGCATTAAAAAATAATTAACCACTATGAGGTGCTTAAAATTGGAAGCAAAGAATATAAAGTTGAAGGAAGAGCCGGGGATAAGACATATGATCAAGACATATAATACTTTGGAAAACAATCAAGGTGAACAATAACGAGACTTCCGCATTCAACATGGGAATGACTAAGGATGAGCGACTCCAGATGAAGGCTCAACCCCCAGTCAAACACTCTTAGTATTCATTCAGCATATATACGTATAGTAAAAGAAGTGTTAAGTTGCCAGAGAAAACGCTTAAAGTGATTTGGCACGCGTTTATTACATTATATGGTGAGAAAGATGTGGACCCGCCATTTCTGTGAAGTCCTAGTCTATATAATTATGCCAAGAGTCTAGCTATATCGAGTATACAAGTTTTGTTCATATCAAAGTTAATTTCAAGATGTACTGTTAACATGTGCGTGTGTGAAGGTGGGTCAGACTAGTGGCATTTACACTATCTCAATCCACAGTTGTCATAACAATGACATCACAAATTACTTTTCATTCAGTGTAAAGCCTCACTCGGAATGGAATGCAGTGACGATTAATTAATTTATACTCCCTTCACACATGCCGCTGCCAGGGACACTACAAATCACTTATAATTCGGATTTTACCTTATAGTGAATTAAGAATGTATTTTTTTTTTATTCCATTAATCTTGGTTTTCCATTGTATCAGTCGGCAAGTAAACAGTGAAATATTTTGACTCGACTCGCTTGACGAAGTTATAGTGTCCTCAGAATATTTTTTACAGGTTTACTCAGACTTGTGCCAAAACTTGAGTGCATATTTGTTTTGTTTTTTTCCCTTAAAGTCCGTATCATGTCTGAAGCAGATTTATAGATTGTGGCAAAACGGTAATGAACATCCGACCTCCGAAATACCATTTCATCTAAGCAAGTTTCTTTGAGGGCCATTAACTGTGTCAGCACTAATTCTCAGATGCCTCATGTATAAGATCGAACAAGTAAATACGAGCAGCAATACTTACAACACTTCATAATAATAGTCTTTTTGTAAGACTGAGGGAAAGGGTGAGGAGGAAAAGTTGTATATACCAAATTACCCACAAGCGACAAGTTGTCAGCGGTAAGTCTATGCTACTTGTAGCAGCACTGTCACTGTCAGAACGGGTTGTAGCGACAACCTAGCAGCGGAGGAGGTGCGGTTACATGCGTGCTAACGCATGTGAAGCAGTAGCGGCAGATAATGGGATGCCATTGTGAGCTTGGGTTGCCAGGGACGGGGGCAGAACAGGAGCTATTTTTAACTAGGTACACACCTTGCTCCGTTATTTCTGTCACCAGTAGCATGATCTTTATAGCAACGGCCCAGTGTCTTCCACAAGATACACATACTCCCTTGCCTAACCCTTACCTTATCACCCTTGAACACACCACACTTAATACCTAAATACGTCACAATAGTATCAAAATTATCCTGTGGTTCCTTTCCCATTATAAATCTTAGTAAAGACTAGGCTTTCTTACACTCGATATTTATCCAATCCCTACCTACCTGTTAAAACAGCCTCCAGAAAGTGACAACGTTTCTTCAAAACACAGGCCATCCTTTGATCTTCAAGAAACCCGAGAATGGACCCTAAACTCTGAGGGAAGTTTTTGGCTCCCCCTATCGAAACAAGAGTATCCGACATCCCACGCCCCCCTAGCCTGCCCCGTGAGTGATACCATGCGGACTCTCACCTCGGGCATCATGGAGAGTTGGCAGCCATACCAGGAGTGAGATTCGAGTATCTGGTGCCATTGTAGTGTGACTACTTAATTATACGAGTTGCTGCGATGCTAATCTTCCATCGCTTTATCCTTACACATCATCCCTCCCCCCTTCCTTCCTTCCTTCCCTCAACATCCCTCCCCCCTTCCTTCATTCCTTCCTCAACATCCCTCCCCCCTTCCTTCCTTCCCTTAACATCCCTTCTCCCTAATTCACACAGTCTTCACCTTCAACCCCTCTCATCCTACTCTCGTCATTCCTCTCTCGTCCTTTCCCTCATCTCCTACTCTCCTACCCAAGTATGGCAGAGTGAGAATACAGGTGGACGGAAGGAGTAAAGAGGACGGGGAGGAGAACTTAAAAAAGTACACAAGAAGCTGTGTGTAATTTACAGGCGTGATGCTCAGTCACCTGAAACTCTTGTCAGAGTGTTAGATGAAATAGCGGCAGTGAACGTCAGGTAAATAGGACACCATGTAACACTAGAACATTTTATTAGGGAAATTTCCGCTCACGGGGATAAAGCTTCCCGCTAGTGCAAAGTTGCAGTGTTGCACGAGTGTATATTTTACCTACCGTGGGTACACATACCAGCTTCCTGTAACCATCGAGCCTCACGTATTGGTAGTTGAGCGTAACTGACTGACAGAGGTGGCACGAGGAGGTCTCTAACTGTCGCTCAGGCTTACAATATTAAGTTGAAGAATTAGACAAGTGTGCAACTGGGTGTCTTTTTTTGTAGACATTTCGCCATCCAGTGGTTTTATCAATACAAATTCAAGAGCATAACGAGAAGACTGCAGAACTATATACAAAAGACGAGGTAATCAGTACCTCAGCCTTGAAGTTGAAAAGCATCGTAGTCTTGAAGACTACGGTGAAGGGATTGATTACCTCATCTTTTGCATATAGTTCTACAGTCTTCCCATTATGTCTCTGAATTTGTATTGATAAAGCCTTTGCATGGCAAAACGTCTACAAATAAAGATACCCAGATGATGTACATGTGTAATTCTTCATCTTGTCGGTACTGTATACCAATCCTATACAATACTAAGTAGTAGGTATATACTGTGTTTGCCTGCACGACTTGCTCTCCTCTCAACAATGTCATTTATTCTAGCATTAACCAAAAAATTAGTATTTAGAAAAGTTTTCTAACTGGTAAATTATTTTAGTTCGCTGGACACCGTTGTATCAGAGTTGCGACAAAGTGCTATATTTTAAACAAAAGAAACTGCCGAAATACACCGAATTTCCGTAATTTAGGTAGTGAAATCTATAGACACGACGTGGGAAAAAAAGGTTCATAAAAGTCTGGTGGCATTTGTAAAACACTGCCAAGTTTTCATGTGTCATTGAGAAACAAGTTCAAGGTATTTTTAACAAATCATGAATGGTGACTCATTAACGCGAATGTTACCTCACTTCAAAAGCAAAATGTCAATAGTGTAACATAACAATGCTTATTACGTACGTGTTCATGAGATGTATTGCAAAAAGTGGTCAATAAAATCCAAAAATGCATTAAATTTACCCAAAAAATAAATAAATAAAAATTAAAGGTGTATTCTCGGACTTGGCTATGGCTAGAAGAAAACCAGTCTTTAGAGTATGGTAGGTGAGCGGGACCAAGAAGAAAAAAAATCTGTTGTGTTTGTCGTCTGAAGATGTAAATCGTATTCCTAGCCATCAATACTGGCACGTAGAGCACTCCCTGGCAAGTACAGGGCTTTTGATGTACGTGGATGGCGTGTGCTGCTCCATTAACATGTGGCAGTTTACAAAAAACTGACCAGTTAAAGCCAGAACCTAAAGAAACTATACACAACCCGCACATAGGAGAAAAACTTATGACGACGTTTCGGTCCGACTTGAACAATCAACTAGTCACACACTAACACACGAAGGTAAGTGATGATAATTTTTGAAACAAGATAAGGATTCATAACTGTCTACACAGGAATGCAAAAGCTGCTAATGGAAAAGGATTGTGTGTGTGACTTCCCGATACTATTAGATTTAGTTCCCCAAAAGCAAACAGTTACCTAACAACTAACACCTTCATCCACATAAATGTCAGTATGCAAAGGGTAACTTTTATATTTATCTTAGACTAGGAGTCGAAGCTTTAGCATCATCACTGAAAGAAGGTTTACTTGTAAGTTACTTGTAGTGGCTTCCGGAGGTCACAGCCCCCGCGGCCCCATCTAAGACCAGGCCTCATGATTGCTAGTCTGATCCATCAGGTTGTTGGTGCCCGCAGTCCGATGTATGCACCACATGCCGGCTGATCAGGAACTGATCTGAGGAATTTGTCGAACTTCCTCTTTAAGATACCCAGGAGTTTATTGGTAATCCCCCTTAGGCATGACGGATAGGAAGGGGCGAGGAGGGGAGGGTTATAGAATCAAGGTCCCTTTACACATATTGAGTTCTTTCAGTGTACCATCGGTCCCCTGCTTTTCACCAGAGGTATCTTTCACGGTCTGCCAAGACTTGTTTTCATACGTGATTTTGGTGAGCATATTTGAATCCAATCCGTCCAGAATCTTCCAGGTGTAGATCATCATATATCTTTCTAACCAACGTTATAAGGAGTGCAGTTGCAGGGACTGCAGGTGCTCCCAGTAATTTAGGTGCTTGACCGAATTTATATAAGCTGTAAAG